TATCTTAAATGTATAAGTTTAAAAAAAATTATTTTTAAAAATATTAACTAAAGAAATTAATATATTTATAATTAAATAATGAGATTAGCGCTTATCCACCTTATTTCTTAAAAATTAAGTGAAAAATTATTCCAAAACTATATAGTTTTAATAAAGTACTATAAGAAAAAACAAAAAACACTCTAATTCATATTTTAAAGATAAAGTATTTTAATCATTTTCAATAAAAATTTATTGAAATAATGTAATTTTGAGATAATTTTTCTTTTAATATTTAAGAGATAAGATAAATAAATACTATTATCTTAAATAATTATAATGTACACTTTTCAGTTATATGTGAATTAATAGTACATCTCTGATATGCAAGAGATCTACTAAATGAAATAAAATTATGTTAGCTCCGAATTAAAGAAGTCCTTTGTGTAATGAGAATTAGAATTGAATATCATCTTTTTATCTTTAATAAAAAAAATAGAAAGATGAAATATCACTCTATGATTGACACAAACACAAAAGGAGGAACTAATTTTTTTTTTATTTTTTGGTACATAGGAGGAACTAATTAAAAAAACGAGGAAAACATTGAAGTAGAAGTAGCAAAGTCATTTTCTTCTCTTTTTTTTTTTTTTCTTTTTAGGGGGTTGGTCCATATCCCCATGCTTGCTTTTCCTTTTTCTTTTTTACATAAAAAATGATTAACTGTTAAGGATAGTATCTATTATAATAAATATTAAATAAATTGAACGAGTGATCTCCACTTTACTTAAAAAAAATAAAAAAAAAGGTACGCGACGCAATTAGTGAGTCACGTAGCGTAGTGGAACGGGCCTTTTCCACATAAAAGAGGAATCCTTTGTGTTACAATCGAAGCAGAAGTGATGTGGATTATTCAAGAATCGAGTTCCCCATGCTTAAAATAAATTAGAAAAGAAAAGATCGGGACTTGACGCACCTTCCAGTGATTTCTCGTGTTAACACCCCACCGGCAAATTGCAATTCTATAACACGTTGGTCTAATCAAATACGATAAAAATGAAAATCAAGACTACTAACTTTTAAAAATGATAAAATTATTTATTAAATTATTAAAATGTTTTTAATAAATTTCTTTTTATGTTAGATTTATAAAGAAGATACTCTTCATCTCAAAATAATAATTATTTTTAAAATTTTAAGTTTACCTTAGATGAGTTATTATTTTTTATTTTTTAATACATCAAATGATAAATTACATAATAGAAATAGTCATTTTCTACCTTACACAATTCTTTACTCATTTTAAGATTTAAATTTAAAATTTTTAATTCTTTTATTGATCCTTGGGCGTTAATTTTTTTATAATAAAAAAAATTTATAATTTAAACTATACAAATTATAAAACAGATACTAGGGATAGAGTCTCTCTACAATTTAAACTAGACAATATTTTTTTTTTCAAAAAATACAAACTGGAGATATAAGGAAGACAAATGGGCAGGCGCAGGGGCAGGTGGAGGTGTCAAAGACTAGTTCAACCCATGGACCGGGGCGGTGGTGGACATTGGACGACCGTCGACTGGTATGATATTTTAGCAGAATATTACTTGGAATTTCGGACCCTATTTCCGTCAAATCCAAACCACGAGTTTGAATGTCGACTCTACGAAGTATTATGCACGGGTCAAGTTCCTGGAAGAAAGGTAAAGAAAGAAAAATATAAAAAAGCATAGGAAAATTGACATCCCGTGTCCCCACGAGGAAACTTACCAACAAATTTGATTCGTGGATTTGTGCCAGCCATTCAATGTACTTCAACAAATATTTTTTTCCTCTGTGCCAGCATAACAATAAGACCTTTTTCGTGCGCTCCGACTTGGAAGCTGCCAAGGAACTTGCCATCCAAGTCCTTTCCAATTTTGGTTTTGATAAGTATAGGCAACTGGGTCCCCAAAAACCAAATCACAAGCTACGGTCTTCAGTTTTTGTTTGACAAAAAAAATGGTAAAACTTATGGCTTTTTGTTTTTTTTTTTCAACCATTACAAATTTTAAGAGGATAGAATTGAAATTTGAGACTAATTCAAAAGAGAAGAAGCAACCAATTAGATTAAAACCTGAAAGAGAGGTAAGTAAAATTTATTGCTTCAACTTTTCCAAAGGAAGAAACAATTCCAGACTGTACCGAGAGAGACCCACTTGTTTCGCTAAATTATTACTATTAATAAAAAAAAAGTATTGGTTTAGGTTGGATTATAAATATTAAAAATAAAGTTTTGATTTTAAAATTAATAAAAATATTTTTTATTTATATTAATTTAATAATTTTAATGCATAAATTATAAATTATATTTTTATTGCGTAATTCAACTGTTAATATTTTAAAAAGTCTGAGTACTGATATATCTGTGCTAGTTGTCTTTGTCGTTAGACCCAGACAAACTATATTGAACTAGTTAAACAAAAGTTGAGAAACCAAACAACCGCGGCAAAATGAAAAAAGAACAACAAAATTACAAGCACGTATGGTTCGTATATTATATATACATAACCATGACAGTTTATCATCGAAGTACAATCCTCTTCTCACTTATAATCTTCAATATTAACACATTACAAGCTCACAAAAAAGATTTCTGTAGATCTTTTCTTCATTTTTCGATCCACAATTGTACATATATATTCGTAATAGACATGCACATGTATTCTCTTTTGATCTACTCTAATAACCGTAATTAACATTTTGCATCTGATCTAGAAAGCAAATAGGATGCAAACGAATGAAAGAATCAAAATCAAGATCGAAACAATTCTTGCACACCACCAATCAAGCTTTCATTTTGTATTACTAGCTAGGCCGGTTAAAGCAGGGCATGTTGAAAGTTGGAGATTAATCGCGCACCATTAACGAACTCTTACCGTTCTAGAATGCATCAATTCCTCCTCTTTCCTCTTTGGATGAAGCAACTTCGACAAAAACCCAGTTCTGTTCTTTCTTTCATCTCCTTCTTTCTCCCTCGGCTTAGTAAAAAAAGCGGTTGTCTTGCTCTTTGTCAACCTATTAATCCCAACTCCGATCATGGACAACGACCCCTTCCCAGATAAATACCGGGCGTCCTGATCATAAGGGTACACAGGTGAAGAACAAGAAGAAGGTGAAGAAGAATCCGAAGACAAAGACGAAGAGGAACAAGAAGACGCTATTATTCTAGTTTTAGGAATACTTCGAGAACTGGAAGTTGACAGGCGAGATAGTTTTTCCCTTAAGCAAAGTGAACACACTCCCGGAGATTGGTGGTGTTTTGGGTGCTTTTTGCATCCCATGGTTGGTTTGCATCTGCCAGCAGCGACGTCTTTAGATCTTCTGAAGGTGGCCATTGGAATTTCCTACTCTGTTTCTGGCCAAGTTCCTGCATGGTGATATATATAGAACAAATTAAAAGACTTGTGTGTGGGTGTGTGTGTGTAACGTGTGCTTTTCTTGGACATTTCATGGAGATTTCTCCCTCAATGACTTGGTTGACGGGTTTTAAAGAGTTTGAAAATGTTGGGTAAGGAATAAATGGACGGCTGTGATTTGGGGTCCGGACGATCGTTGAGTCGGTTTGGTCAGATGGTTTAGTGTGGAAAGCGGGCCAGAGGGCGGGCGGGCGGCGCATAAAATCGAGGAAGTCGCTTTATAAAATATTAATTTTTATAATATGTAAATAATTACAATATATTAAAAAATATATATATTACTGGAGACAGGCGGGGGACACAAGATCAAGGGCGGTAAAACGGCGCCGTAAGCGTGCAGGAAATGTGGGAAAAACTGAAAAAGAAAAAGGAAAAGGAAAGCATGGAAGGTAGCCTAAAAAGAAAATTTAAAGCCTAGCCAGAGGAAGCAATCTCTTTCTTTAAACGATTCGGTTATGTTTTCAGAGATCAGATTCAGAAAAATATTATTTATTAATTTTATTCAAATTTAAAGGTTTTATAAAAAATATTTTGTTTTATAATTTAAATTATATCAAATTATAAATATAAAAACTATTAAATAGAGTTTATTTTTAAGGATTTTTCAATATAGATTAAGAGTGCAATTAATACATATTTTAGCTATTATTTTGTATAAAAAATTGATATTAATTTAACATCAATGTTATGTATCTTAATTTAATTAG